ATTACAAGGCCATGTTAGTGTGTAATTGCCACTTTCAAAGCCTGTTTTATATCAGTATCTTCACATCCCTCTCTTGTACAACTCAAACACAATGACGTTGGGATTTGTATTCTTGATGAAATACAAGACAGTTGAAGTGTCGGCCATTTTGAAATCTGACACCAAGAAGTGAGTATGGTTTGACGTCGCTGTTAGCAATATTCCATCAATATATTCCATCAATATTACGACAAAGGGCACCACAAATTGGCGGAATGGAATGTCCTCATGTGTGGAATCGAACACGGACCTTTGACGTGACAAGTGGGTTTTTCCACCATCCCTGCCCACGTGGAATACACCGTGCGATTTGATACAACTGTTTATTCAAATCTTTTATCTTTGAAGTGAGTGAGTTTGGTTTTACGGCTACATTAGCAATATTCCAGCAATATCACGGCAGGGGACACCAGAAATGGGCTTCACACATTGTACCCATGTGGGGAACCAAACCCTGGTCTTCGGCGTGACGAGCAAATGGTTTAACCACCACCGCTCTGCACTTTGTTTTCTCAGATGTTCAAATCACTGCTTAATGATCGAAATTGGGCGGAAACAGGGGTTATAGAGAGAGGAACGCCTATGTCCGCTATGTATTGTTCCAGCTGTAGAAACAGAATTACATTTTTTTCTACAGTGCCCATTTTATAACGAATTAAGACAATCATTATTACATGCCTGACAAGTGTCATTAAAGAAAGTAAATAAGGCATTTGTAGTGAATACATTGTGACTGTGCAAGTGGTTGTTTGAATAGCATATCTTCTGATGGCATATATTGACTTTTACCCTATCTTCCTCATGTCAAGGACACAGAAACTTGAGGGAGGAAATGTTATCCACTCGTTCATGAATAATATCAAAAGATATCCTGACTATCTGGGCCATAGGCATGCTTCCTTGAGAATTTACTAATTTATCGCAGTTAAATCTACCCAGTGAAAAACCTCTGGCAAATATCTTATATGTTACGATGGATGGATGAGTTTAGTCTTACGCCTCCTTAAGCAACATTCCAGCAATATCACGGTCGTGGACTCCAGAAATTTGGTTCACACATTGACCCAAGTGCCGAATCGAACCCGGGTCTTCGGCGTGAGGAGCGAACGCTTTAACCACTAGGCCACCCAACCGATCCTTACGAGGAAACAACAGAAAGCATTTGAGTTGTATCATCATGACTAGGACAATTGTTTTCTCGTGTTCGAATGTGAGTGAGCGAGTCAGTCTGGTTATCACCTACATCGATGGCATTCGTGACCAACTCGTGTTATTCCGGGACAAGCCGAATAGCGAGGTTATGGAAAGGGGCGAGTGGTGACGAATGATATCGATGGCTGTGTCCACAAAAGTATTATGTAGCAATATTCCAGTTACACGACGCCAAACTGAACATATCCCAGTCTGGAACAGACAACCAACGATCCTGTCTGTCGTAGTTCAATGTATCGCAATCAACCTATATATAGTGAGCAAGACGCAGATTTAGTCGAAAAGTGTTGGTTGGTTGTTTGGTATATTGTTTAACCCCACACTCAGCAATATTCCAGCAATATTGCCAGAAATGGGCTTCACACATATTACCCATGTGGGGAATCGAACCCGGGTGTGACAAGCCAGTAGATACCTCATCATTCGTCACCACTCGCCCCTTTCCGTAAACTCCAAGAAGACTCGTCTCGATGCTTGTTACGTGCGAAAATACGACAAACCAATCAGAACGCAAATTAATCCCAAGTACTACAACCGTTTGTGGCATTGTGACTTTGTTCAAAAATCACGAAAAACAATATATCGTCATCTTGAAAGTACAAAGAGCGTAGCAGAATTGGTTTGACTCATGTGTAGTTTTTAGTAAGGATAATGTCATGGACGGTGAGAAATTCAAATACGTGCACGTGCGTTTCTTTAGATAACTGCTCTCATGGGTCCTGACGATCTTGCGGGTTTGTTTTGGAGATTGTACGAGTGCTTCGCGTTTCAAAACAATAATATTATATCTATCTATCTATCTATCTATCTATCTATCTATATCTATCTCTCTCTCTCTCTCTCTCTCTCTCTCTCTCTCTCTCTCTCTCTCTCTCTCTCTATATATATATATATATATATATATATATACACACACACACACACACACACACACACATACATACATGGGCATGTCTTCATGTCTTCACTGCGGGCAGTCAAAACCAATCTTGCTTCAGTGTGTTAATTTTTCTCGTTTCAACCTGTGAATGATCTTCCGTGCGCCATAAAACCCTATGACATTGAATTCTGAACCAAACTGAATAGTTTCTATTTCAAAATAGGGCCAGAAATGGGCATGTCTTCACTGCGGGCAGTCAAACACCAATCTTGCTTCAGTGTGTTAATTTTGTCAAATTTACTATGTTCATGCACACGTTTTCTTCTTGAAGTGATGTTTTCTTCGAATCTAGTTTCTTCCACTTGACGCTCTTTCAAAATGTCCGAAATTGTTTGCCTGCCAATTTTGTACTTAAGTGCAGGATCTTTTTTGAGTAGGCCGAGGAATTGCATCAAAATCTTTTATCAGCTGAATTTTCTGTTCAAGAGTTTATTCCAATCTGGTTTGTTTTTTTTGATAATTCCAATCTAGCCCGCTTGACTGGTCTAGCCATCTTGAAACGATGAGCAACTGACAAATTGTGACACGACAATTAATTTATAATACAAGTGACACGTGTCACTAACCAATTTACCTCGCCTACTTAGGCCTAATCCTTATCCATACTCCTTTTATCAGGCAACACCAATGAGCTTAATGCCGATGGTAATCCACTGTGTTGTTAATACACGTTCAGCCAATCAGCCATCAACAGGAGAGCCGAGATACCGGAGGCCGGTTTAGAGAGCGTTAATTACTGTACAAACAGTCAATTGGGCGTTCTTTTGGGTGTATGTTTCACATGCCTGGGGCGTATGTTTCACAGTCTCTTAGTCTGACAGTTTGAGAAATATTATATAGTCCTTTTTGAGTATCTACTTTGGTATTTAATGTAGTGAAAAACAATGATTACACAATGCCATTTTTTAGAAAGTGGTCAGATGTAACATATCTTATATTTGGGATTACACTTTCTTTGTAAAGTAAAAACTGGGTTGAGTCCCATCCGGTATTCGAACCCCAACCTTCAGAGTCAGGCACCTAATCGCTAGCACACAAATATCCCAAATATAACAAACGTTACATTTGACCACTTTCTAAAAATGGCATTGTGAAATCATAGCTTTCGGCCGTTGGAGCCATGAAAATTTACATTTCTCAAATTCTCTTATTTCTCTAAACTACCAGTTGTCCGACTTTCATTTTTGTGGAAGAAGCGTTGGCTGAGTGGGTTAGACGTCTGACTTTGTGTGCTGGCGATTAGTTGCCTGACTCTGAGGGTGTGGGTTTGAATCCCGGATGGGACTCAACCCAAAAAAGTACAAGAATTTGTACTTTACTAAGAAAGTGTACTCCCAAATGTAACAAATGCACATTCATTAAAACAAATCACATATGTTATTCTAAAACTCTATTTAGAAATATATAAGGTGAACAGCTGGTATGTTTTTCTCCTTCTTTTAGTTGTTTCAAAGAGGTTTAATTCTTTAAAATAAATAAAACCAAAAACAGCAATATGCAATGTACGAGTGTTCGGTGATATTAAGTACCACAGGAAACAAACAAGAATAGAGTTATCGTTCTTGTTGAAAGTGGTTCTGATGTTCATGCGCCAATATGAAATCCTATCAGAGGGGTGGGAGTCGATATTCAGGAATGACATCTCATTTCATTCGTACAGCCAGCAGAGGCATGTAGGTTGTGGACGAGATACTATGTGGTGTTGCCTTATAACGTCTTCAAGAAAAGGAGCAACATTGTCAGATCTTAAGCTATATACATGTACATATACACCAACGCAATCTGGCAGTGGGAACTGAGAACTGAGCTCAAAGGAGCCTGAGAATAGCTCACAATAATATGTTGTGTAACCGCAGAGGGTCAGTTGAGAAGTGTCATTTGAGAAGTATCCCTTAACACGTAGTCCTAACACACAGTACTAACAACGTCCTCGGCGGATATTATGTTTAATGGTGTTTGCTTATTTGCAGTGGTATTCGCCATTCTGACCATTGGGGACAGCACACATCACAGAGAGACAGAAGCACGCCTTCAGAAGATACCATGTTCCCCATGCTACTGCACGAGGACAACTGACGGGGATATCCACGCTGATTGTTCAAACAAACATTTACACAAAATACCATCCTCTCTTCCTACAAATGTCACACATTTGATAATGACGAATAACCTCTTGACCAAACCCGCCGATGACTTACACCGATTCTCCCATATAAAACATCTGGATTTGTCGAGGAATAACATTAGCAGTTTGTACGATAGCTTCAAAGGTGTTGTAACATTGCTGAGTCTAAATCTCCATGGCAACCAACTCACTCTGGAGAAGACCACATACCCGAAAGGAACGTTTAAAGATCTGGAGAAGCTTGAAATCCTTGATATAAGTAGTAACGTATTGGTCACGAATTCATCGTATCCTGATGACAGCTTTGGAGATCTTGACTCTCTGCAGACGTTGGTGGTTGATGGACTCGAGAACTGCACCTTTGGACAAGGCTTTGTCAGATTAAAGAACCTTACAACACTGAACATATCAGGCCAAAGGGGATATTGTTCCATCAATCGTTTGTTAAATGAGTCATTTCTCCATACACCTCACCTTAGAAACCTAGATATAAGTAAATGTAAAATATCAGATATTGATGTTGGTTCGTTTCTTCCTTTTAGAAACATTGACACATTAGACATGTCAGAAAATGATAATTTAGGGTTTAAGACATTTGGTGATTCTATGTTTGGCCTTGTGAACTCGACGTTAAGAGTACTTAGGCTGAATAAAATCACAAGCAGTTATGCCATTGGTGTTCAGATACGGAGGACACATGTCCGTTTCTTCGCCGAAATACATGTAAAGGAGATTTATCTTGACTGCAACAGAATTGAGAAGATAGAAGACACTGTTTTAAATGTTTTACCTTCAGTTGAAGTCATCTCCTTGAAAAATAACCATCTCCAGCTTGGAGCTTACTCATTTGCTACAGATCAGTTGGTTAGTCTTCGTAAACTCTATATCAATAACCCTTATAAATTCAACGGACCTTTACCAGGAATTATAGTAACCCATGGTTCATGCGTTGACAGAGAGTATGATCAGAATAAAGTTTTCAGTTTGTATCCGGAGAGAAACATTGTCGTGAGCACTGTTCAAAGAAGCCAAAGAAGATCTTCAGTGGATGAAACAGATGAAACAGTTAAACGCAAGAATACTTTTCAAAGACACTACAAGGGTAGTGTCACTGAGGTGGAAATGTCACAATCGAAAAGCAAACAATTATTCTCAGATCCAAATGGAATCCGGAGGAAACAAACGAAGGACGAGATTCATTATTCAATGACTCTTAAAATACCCATTGCTCCAAACGTACTATTTGTTAATGCCAGTCACAGGAATATGCAAGGAGAAATTTGGAACTTTTCATTTTGGCCAAATAAATTGCAAACTCTTGATATATCATCCAACATTTTAACAAAATGGGTAGGTCCAGTTTATCAGACTGAAAACCTTAAATTTCTGGATCTATCAAACAACTTTTGCAAAATCATTGCCTCAACTTTTCTGGAGCATGCAAGTGGTCTACAAATATTGAATATCAGCAAGAATTACCTCGCTGAATCCCTTGCAAATGACACAAAAGGGGAGATATTTATGAATCAAAGCAATGTAGAAACATTAAGAATTGCTTCAAATATGATTCGTTATTTGCCCTCTTCGATTTTTGCAAGCATGGGTAAACTGAAAGTCCTTGATTTGAGCTGGAATATGATGAGTTCTTGGGTTGTTGACATACATCAAATGAAACATTTGTGGATGTTAGACTTGTCCTACAACAGATTTGAAGCTGTTCCAATACGTCTTCAGAATCAGATTGATGCAATTATGAAGGAAAGGAAAGACAAATTTCACATCAGAATGAAGGGCACCAACCTTAAGTGTACATGCGATACTCTGGGTGACTTGGAGTGGATGTTGAAACAATATATAGCCATAGATGACGCATCTGATACCAAATGCAGCCTATCAGATGGAACCGAGACGTCTTTGGACAAGCTTAACAACCTTGTACTTGATCTTCAAGAGAGATGCAAAACTGTCATTCCAGTGATATTTGGAGCAGCCGCGGGACTCATTTTGTTTCTGTCAGTGGTAGTAGGTGGCGTCATATATCGCTACCGATGGAAGCTGAGATATTTGTACTACACAACCAGAAGAAAGTACAGAGGTTACCAGAAACAGATAGATGAAGAAGAACACTTCATATACGACGCCTTTGTCTCATATGCAGAAGAGGACAGGGAGTTTGTTGTGCAGGACATGCAGAACATCCTGGAGAAGAGATTTGGATTAAGACTCTGTATACACCAGAGGGACTTCATGGTTGGTGAGCCAATCACTGCCAATGTAGTCAACGCAATACAGTCGAGCAGGAAGACTATCATCCTTTTAACTCCGAGCTTCCTTGAGAGTTCCTGGTGTGAGTATGAGGTCCACATGGCCAAATTTGAGAGCATCCACTCTGGAAGAGACATCTTTTGTGTAGTATGGCTCATTGATGTACCTGATACCAGAAGGATCAGCAGGGATATCTTAGATGAAATTGAGCATGGTACCTACATCAAATACCCAGCAGACGAAGTGGACAGAGAAGAGTTCTGGCAGAAGATCAAGGCAGCCATAACATTCTGATGCAATCAATAAGCAAAGAGTGTTTTTTGTTTGTATTTGATTTATTTAAGAGCACTGGCTTTTTCAAATCACCAGCATACAAAAGTGTACCTTTGATACATATTCATTTTGGGTAGCTCATCGATATGAACTATTGCTATGTCAAAGTCGGGATGACTCAGATGGAAGGTGGAAGCTGTACATGGCGCTTACTAATTGCAAATGGAATATTTCATAGAAATCGAGGGATATTGTTTTTGCTTGTTTATTGTTAAGTTGTTATTCATTGTGGAACAATTATATAATTGTATTGCTTTGCTTTTCTTAAGATTCTGAAGACTGTAGTTGTGTGTTGGTTACTATAGTTACTATATTGGAAACGTCTTGGGCAGCCAAAATATTGCAACACACAATATGTGTGGATTTCTGTGTTACATCAAACATTTCCGTGTGGCTGTGGTCTCCCGTAGTGTTTTCAGAAAGTTCTGTAAGTTCCAGAACAAACACCTCGGGAAATGTTTGTGTGTATGGGGGGGCACTCTTCCCTCGAGAATCTCACAAAGGACTTTTGCAAGTCTGCTGTCCATAACCAAAGTTAGAAAATGGCCGATTGGCCCCAGAAGAATGACATTGTGGATGAGGTGCGGAATAGCGCAGGCTTACCATACATGTGACACAGGACAGTCTGACCAGGATTTGACTCTAAGGGACTCTTTGTATCAGTCTCCATTTGACCCTCGGACAGCAAGCACGTGGATGCTGCCTGGCCGTTGATGTAAGGCTATATCGAGAAATAAAGTGTAGTGGATCCACAGATGGACTCCTGTGTTTGAACAGTCATGCGTGGAACTAGACCCAGGATACCTACCTGAAGCACAAAAAAGGACTTGTCCTGGAGTTGATAGTATTTTACTTAGTTCAATTATGATTCCCTGTGAATTTCGTTTCTATTAATCACATCTACCATGTTCCATAAGTTTCAGTAAATCCAGAATCTGTATGGATTCATTTGGTTTCAATCATTAGTATTCAGGGATTACCATATGTCCATATTAAATTATGATTATTCAACTAAATTAAGTGTAGTTGAAAATGGAGTGTATTATATATTTTGAATGTATTAGGTCATATATTTTATTCATGATACATTGAAATATAAAATAAACTCATTTCAACTACAGTTACCTCAACACCACATGGACATAGAAATAAATAAATACAAAATCAGGCATGTCAGTCGATTTCTCTTTATTCATCATAAACATATCATATCTATGTTTCAATGTTACAATTAAACATTGACACAAAGCACAGAGAGAGAGAGGACTGTGTGTGTGTGTGGGTCATCACAGGCCCTATGGATTTGAAATTTTGTATGAGTAGTAGTAGTTTGTTCAAATAACTATTATCGAGGGGTTGACATTTTTTTAATTTGAGGGACATTAATTTTAATCTTTGTCTCAGAAACAACAAATTTAGATGTTCTTGTCCTAAACAGGGGTGACTACAGGAGATAATTGAATGTACATTTAGACATTCCATCCAATTTCTAAGACCTTTAGGTGGTTGGAAAGCATCTTGTTGGATGGTGTCGCAATTACCAAGTTCTTCATTTTGCCGCTGGAGCTTCAGACACCACTGGCGATGTCAATTCTAGGTTAGGACTGCAGCCACCTTCTGTGTTCTTTTCTCTGCCCAGCTAAGATTCTTCAGGAGGTGTTGGAGTTTCTGGGGGAAAAATGAAATTCTTGCACTGCGAAAGTTATGTCCAACATTTATTCTTGAGAGCAGCACTTGTTCTAATTAGATAATGGCACATTACGGTGATGGGTAATGACATGTGATAAGGAAAGTTATTCTATTACAGGTATATAGCGATGTGATAATATGCAGCACATCATGTCAGTGACTCAGGGTGTTTTAAACTGGTGTCAGGAAGTGTATAAACCGGTACAAATGATATTATATAATCCAGTTTCAGGAACTTACAGATCAGATTCTTTTGTTTCTTTTAGCATCTTTCCTGTGTTTTCTTTCCTGTAATCTGCCGACGTCGATCGTCCGTCTTGCTTGCTCCTCCAGATTATCCAAAGGTTCTATTAAAAGAAAATGGAAATAAATTAATTTTCATTCGTCCAATAATAGATTATTACAATCCGACACAAACATTCATAAAGTTTGATTATTATCATGTATCAAAACAAGTAATAAGTAATTGTGGTATATCAACTACATGTATATGCATTACTGCGAGGGTGTAGAAGTTTTCTATTAACATGACAGACATGATTATGCAGCAAATTATGCACTACATAATAGTATGCTATGCGTCAATTCTACTGCTAGTACTAGATACCTGACAATGAAATAATTAGATGCTGATTTACCCAATGGTGAACAAGAGAACGAATTAATTGTATTTTGTATTACTGACGTGTCTAGTCTTTATAAAGAGCCAACATATATCTTGATTATGATGACGACGAGCAATAATAAAACTTGGGAATTAAGTTTTTTTTACCTTAAATAAGTAACTTTTAATGGATTTTCAAGGTACTCAGGAACTTTTCCATGATTCTTCCTCACAATAGCCTAAAACAAAATGAGACAATTACATTTTGGATCATGAACATATGTCGATTGGTAATATTTTCCACCGGAATATCATGTACTACTGGTTTCCCCATCTATATTTGTTGCCTTGCTGGATACATGTATAACAATTTCTTAAAATATATTTTATTCCATCAATAACCTGGAAAGGTGAACAAGCCCAAGTGTCTTATATAAACGCCGCTCCAGTACACGGTTCAATGTAGCTGGATACATAATTGAAATAGTCCGACAAGAAAGGAATAATACTGAGACAAAATTACACTCAGAAAAATGACTGAAGAATATAAATATTTGGTTATGGTGTTGGTTGTGCCCCAGCAACAAAATGAGCTGCCACAGGAGCTAAAAATTATATAAAACATCAGACTCAGCATTACAGGAACACAAGGGGTATTCTTGTCTTATGGTTATATTTTAAACGGAATGTTCAGCTGGTATCAACAATAATGTTGTTTTTTTTAACAGATTTCACACCAAAATGCAATGTATCCGGTAATAACCGTGGGAGAAATCGAAATGCGAGGCGCACCGTTACTGTAGATTCCTACCGAAAAAACGTTTAATTCGATGCAGACTGACTGCTATGATAAGAAGTAAATAATTAATTTTATCTAGAAACCTACCTGCCAATTTCTCTCTGTCTTGGGTTTCCGTTGAGGATCAGCTTGAGTTCCCGGATCCTTGTTTCCAAAGCTTCGATTGTCGAAGTTTGTTGCCATGTGTCAAGAAACTATAGCAAGTATATACAGACTGCCATTTTCTACTACCTTACTCTCATAGACTTACTTAGAAAAACAACAGCGAAGTTTTTCCTAAGCTCGCGCGTGTACGTTTGAACAAAGATGGCGACATTTCAAACAAAGACTTATGGGATAGTCAATTAGGTTGTTTTTTTCATTTCTATTGTTAACACCACGCCAATAGTCTGCTTACCCTTCCACAAGCGGAAAAACACTGATAACTGCAATATGTGTTTATGTAAATTGTTTGTTTTTACAATGTCAAATCCCGCATCTCGCGAGGCCTCATTCATTTCTCAAATCAAGCGCTTCCGGTTTTCGTGACAAGCAATTTTAGTATCTGATCTGACTGCCAGGTGGGCAGCACATGCTACCTCGACCGTGACGGACCCAGGGACTGGGCAGCTGTCAACCATGGCAGAATTTCCTCAACCCTAAAGAGTGAAACAATATGAAGACGGTGGATGTATTTCCCGTAATAAAGTACTCCAGAAATCAGTATAAGCTTTTTCCAGATTTTTCCGACGCGTTGATCGTATATGACTGATCAATTTGATCCTATTTCTGTGTTTTACCTGATATTTAGTCATATCAAAGAACAATGTGATGGTTGATCACCTATTGTTTTTAAAACCACACAGCGTAGTTCCCTAAGATTCTGTAGTAAATTAATATTGCATGCAATAGAACGATTTTACCCGGTTTTTTGTCATCTAGTGAACTTATAACAGGTATAGTACTACATGTTATGTAATATATGCATGCAGGTGCAGCAAAGGAATTATCAGCTGAGTTAAAAAAAACAAACACAGATGAAAGGATTAACCGATAACACGCTAATTGATTTATTACTTTTATCTTGCACGACGTCTTTGTCAAAAAGATAGTCTTTATGTTGTAGAGTTACCTAGCGTATACTGAAAGGTTTAGTACCGTGACGTAGACATTTGTGATGTTGTAACAACAAATAAGGGCGACACACAGGGGATTTTCAGGTTGACCGCACTTGGAGAACAATGGACATAATCTGTGATGATAGGCATGCAGGTGACACCCCTAAATTCCCAAGTTGGAAACAAAATAAATTGTACAACGAAGTGATATCCGTAGAAAATACCAGATGTTAGGATAATATTTTACATATTCACATGACATGGCAGCAATGAATAAAATCCATTAAAAATGACATCTTGCATGCAAATTATTTCCAGTAAATCATAACGGTAAAACAATTTCATAATACCTTGTACATAGTACACATCAGCCTCTACACTGCAGTTTCATTAGAGAGTGTAGAAACTGCTTTCATGCCAACACAAGTACATTTTGTTCTTCCTGTTGGGACAAATCATCGGTGGGGTATTGTAAAATATATTTATCTTACATGTTGTATTTATTGCCACAGCCGGATGTTATAAATTATGCCTTTATATCATTGTTGGACACGTTCCGTGGTTACGTATGTCAGGATGTTTGGTGACTATGTCATCTACAGTGGAGACAGCTGGAGACTCTACAACATAACCAGGACATCCAAGATGTAGCATTTCTCCTAAAGTATTACCATCCATACATACAGCCCTCGTGAAGTCGGAATGAACTTTTACTTTACACATGTAACTGCTGTTTTGCCACTAATAAAAGAGTGATGGGTGTTGAAAGTATGGCCAACGTATTATGTACCAGGTTGATGAGTTGGTGCTTAATCATATCAATCAAAAGGAAACAAACTAAATTAGGTTCAATTTCATTGATTTTCATCATGTAAGTGAACAAAGGGGTGGGATTCGATGTCACCTATTTCGCTATATGGTGGGTATTCTTGTGATAGCTAATCCCCTTTAAAACAACATGCACCTGTTTCTAAAAAGAATTGTGACATTTTCATGTAAAACTTATCCAGATTAATATTATCTTTGAGTGTCAGAGTAAAACCCGGTCACGTGACATGGAACAGTTTTGGGGCAGCTATGCCGATGAATGGCATATCGTTCCATTTAATGTGGATACTGATGGATACTTTTTCTCGAACAAGGGTAATAGCCCATTATGGTTTGTTTATAACGTTAGTTGGTTTTAAGTTTGATATCTGTATTTTGTTTTCATTTCTTTGTAGCATTCAACAAAATTATTCCACAAACAACATTGTTCATGTAGGTTATAAGCCCCCACCTCTCCTCTTCCTGGAC